AACAGAATAGAGAGAACAGAAATAAACCCATGCATATAAAGTAAACTCATTTTTGACAAGGATGCCAAGAATTCAAAAAGTGATTTTGAAAAATATAAGAAGTAAAGGCAAGTTTGCAAACAATAGAAAACATTTATGCAAAGATGTAAAAGGAACACTAACATAATTGTATATATTTTATGGTTCCATATTTATTAAATGTACACAAATCAAAGAAGATTTCAATTTTATATATAATGCTTTATTGATATAAAAATGTGAAATGAAAAATCAAACATATTTTGAAAAATTTCAAACTTATTGGCAATAAGTATCTATATACCCTTCCATTAGATTCACATTTGCAATCTCTCTCTCCATATTTAGTATACATTTTTGTCATTGATGATTTGAGAATTAGTTATAATGCGAGCCTTCATTCCTAACTACTTAACATGAAACATGGTTTTTCTTCATAAATACAACTGTAACACTCAAGAAATTTAACACTGAACTACAACCCATGCTTTAAATTTTCCAAATGTCTAAACAATGTCTTTGATAGTTGTGTTTTGCTTATTTATTAAGAATAATATATTGCTTTAAATTCTAATAACTCTTTATTTTCTTTTAATAGGTCATGCCCTTGCTTTATTTCCTCTTTATTTTAGAGTTTCATTCCTACATGATATTGACATTTTTTGAAAGGCTATGCTAATTTTTTTTTTCTTTACAATGCAGTGGTTTTTATTTCAAAATGAGACATTGGAAGGGTTTTGTAATTTTCTTCAACAACGCTCAGATGATCAGGTACATACATGAAATAAGCTTTCCAGATTGGCTAAGTAGGACTGTGTGTGATTAGAAGAAAGGGAGGAAGAAGTTAAAGGTAATTGTACAAGAGTTCAAATGATAAACCATCAAATTTAAGCTGGTAAGGAAGGAAGTGAGAATAATAGGGACGTGTTGATAACAGTAAAGGAGTAGCTCACTACAGGTCTCTATAAAATGAATGAATTAGTCAGGAACATAGGAAATGCAGCTAATCAGTGAATATGTCTGTTCTTTTTCACTAAATATGTCTGTCTGAAAGCTCAATTTTCATGAATAGGATAAAATATGGGAGATAGAAACTGTTTTTAAGATCTTCATTGCTAGGAGAATAGCATAGCATATGTGGGGGGTGGGGGTGCTGTGTCTGTGGATTTGTAAAGTCCTTTACCAAAACTTTGACTTTAAGTCATACCTTCTAAGAGTAGCACCTGTAATTCGCATGCTTTATTATACTGCCAGTATTCCTAGCAAACAAGAGATATACTGTTGAAAGGCAACTGTCACATGGAGCCCTGGAGTGACTAATGTAGTTATTAAGCATGTTAATGGTAGAACTGAGAAGAAACCTATAGAACTCACTCATGTACTGTTTGTTGTATCTCAGCCAAACTGAATCCTCCTCAAATCACATAATGTATGTCACTACCTAAATCATCTGCATATCAGACAGGTTGTGGTTTAATACATATTTCTATTTTAATTATTCTACTGTGTGGCTCTTATCCCCCCCCCCACCACCAAAAAGCCCAATTTTGACAGATGTAGTAGTCTAGGAAGGATAAATTCTTAGGGATATGCCCCAACAAAAATTTTAGGGTAAGAAGGTAAATGGTAACTAAAAGCTGTTTATTATCACTTAATTTTTGTGATCCCAGGCACAAAGCTGAAGCATTAATGGATGTGATAAATACTGGCACCAACTCCTGTACTCAAAACTACTTTATAAACATTGCATCAGGAGTGCAGATTCCATATGCCTTTGTTTATGGATATTTTTTTACCATTGTCATCATAAAGCCAACATACATTGAATGTCCACAGGGTTTTGGCACTACATAAAAATGACATAGGATACAAAAGGAAAATATGAATATTATTACCTTTTAAAATGGCTCTCTATGAGAGAGGAACACAGTGATAGGGAAAACAGACACTGAAAATTATTTTTTTTCAATTTTTATCAAGAATTTACTGTACTACCTTTTTTATTTTATAAGATAGGGGTAACAGAACTATTTCAGTACTGGTATATGCTATTTAAATCAACTTCTGCCTGAATTACTGAATTGGCTTCAGAAAATTATCCCAGCAAAACATCATTTGCATCTCACTGTAGCTTCATCTTAATTTACACTAGAAGCATATTCTGAAGTCCTCACATTAACTTTTAATTTAATAACACTTTCATCCTGAAGAAGCAGGCTGTCTTGAATTGGAATTGGGCCTGTTGAAAGGATATAAAATTCAGTTATAGAGAGCCCCAGGGAGGACCAAAATATAGGCTTCAAGTGCCCTCTTGTGGTTAGTAAACAGGAAAACCAAATATAACTTGAAATCTAGAATAAACCTATTCATGCTAAATTTCTTTCTCTATTGCCACTGATTCATTTATTTAAAAGAATTTATCAATAATTTACTCTGTTAGTCACTGAGTATTATAATGGGAAAGAGTCCAAGTCACAGAAAAGTTCATAATAGAAGGGGAGTGAGAATAACTACAGGTAATTTCAACTCTCTCTGCTAAGTGCTATTATGCTGATGTTTATTCTATTTCAATCAAGTTAAAATAGCCATCTTTATTTTTTAGGTATTATCATGGTAATAAATATTAACTAGATATTCCTAAAAAATAAAAGCAGCTATTTCCACATGTGTAATATGTATTATATCTATATAAAACTAGAAAACACATAGCAATCACATAATTTTAGAATTCTTTATAGGATAACATGAATCCATATTGTTCATTCTGATTATTCTATTAATAACATTTAAAGTTTTATTTATTATTTTAATTCCTTCCAGGTCAGCATTATCAGATCTATTATGCAGATAAGAGCACTGAGGCAGAAGGGTCATTCTTACCTGCTAATTTAGTATCATAGGTGAGACTAGAACCTGAATTAATTGCATCTGTTAGTGTTCTTTAGTAGATTCATCCAGTGACCTTTTTGTGGTTTCTAATGGTAGATATGAGGGGTTTTATGAAGTCACTGAGTAACATGAGATAGCCATTTACAAGAAGGGTTAAACCACACACACACACACACACACACACACTGGATCATTTCCAACATCTGCTACTGAGCAGCTGTCACAGTTCTCCTGAGTTGGATGGAGCTTTTTATCAAGTTATGAAAAGTCCCATATCCAATTACCAATTCCCAGTATCATCCAGTCCTTGGCTTGGCACTGATCAACCAAATGATACACTTATAATGCCAAAGCAAAGTGATTACATAAATAATTTAGTTGGGTCTTCTTTAATCCTATACAAGGGAAGCTCACAGTAATCCTAATTAGTATTTTACTCACCCAGTGCAGTCATGTAACAGTAATCCTATTGAATTTCCAACACTGAGCATGAAAGGGTGCAAGATTTTTGAAGAATGTAGTCCTAGTTTACATAAATCAATGATGTAAGTCAAGATGTTCACAAAATTGGTTTATTTGGAAGATATCAATGGTTCTGGACACAAACTACAAGACATTTATAAGATGTCAAAGAAACCTAAAGGTGGTAGAGGTAGAGGTGGGGGGAGGGTTCTCAAAATTATCATTTTAAATCTATGCTCTTCAGTACTTTAAATTGCTGTGATGTATTTTCAACTGTTTGTAAAATTCCATTTCAAAATATTTTCATTTTTTTTCATATTTTCTTTTGACTTATGAAAATAATCTCTGAGCAAATTTGGTTTCCATATACAGTACTATGAAATAAGAACTACCTATTATTGCTAACGTTTCCTAAGTACCATTTAGGATTGTTTCCTTTTTGCTAATGTATAGCAGCATGATGAGCATCCCTGGCATTACTTGAGAATATTATTTTATGAGATGAACTGAAGCAAAATGCTCTTTGGGGTAGATTTTGTGATTGTGTGTGTGCTTGTCTTAGGCTCAAAACTTTACATAACTAAGCCCAGTTGGTTCAAAGACTACATTTAAAATTTAATCAGAAAGATGAACTTGTTACCTTTGTAACAGTAAACCAAAAGTTAATGTGAATGCTTCTCAATTATACCCGATTTATTACCTTTTCTCATGTTCCCAGAAAGTTCATTCACTAGTTCAGTCTTTCATTCATTCCCTCACCCATTCATCCACAGATAAGCATCATACAAAGTAACAAAGTCATATCTCCTCCCCTCCAGGGTATGCACGCAAAAGTTCAAGAACCACTGTGTTTTAAGAGAAATTATGCACAGCTGGTTCTTATAGAAATAGTGGTAGGGAATCCAAGTTAGAAAAATGTCAGAATGTTTTAGCAACTCAAGCTCAATTTTGAAGGGCAAGTAGGTATGAGATAAGTAGGATGGAAGGGCTTTCTAGGTTGATGGATTTTCCAAGGTATTTAGGGATAAGACAACTTGATACTTTGGGGGACTCTTCAGACTAACTAGAGAAGCAGATAAAGTCACATCCAGAAGTACCTAGGTAATATTGCTGAGTTAAGTTTCACCCCGCATTGAGAAATTTCAAGTAGGGGAATAAAATGCGCAGACATGAATTTTAGTAAAGCCACTTCAGGCAACAGTGTGGAAGAGATATCAGAGGAGGCATAGATCAACGAGAGCAAGGAAATATTAGGAGTCTACTATAATAACCCTGGGCTTGCACTACAACAGTTAAGAGGGTAGGTAATGAATAATTTACAACCTTGCTATACTAACTGTTCCTCAATCAGCGCATGAGCACCAATTGGGAGCTCAAGAAATACAGAACCTTGCCCTTGATCTCTGAAATTAGCATTTTAATAAGGTCCTCTAGTGAGCTAATTGTTAATCTATAGGTAATCTATATATCTCAGAGGTATCATTCAGAGGTAAGGAATATAGCAGGGGCAGATCACTATTTTACATAGGGTCACTTTGAAGTGCTTGTAGGATATCCAAGGAAGTATCCATAGTAGTTGGGTATATGAGTCTGGAGGCTCAAATGAAGTATGTTTTGGAGATGCAGTTTACCATTTATCAACCTGTTGGTATCTGAAGCCATGGTCTGACCCAAGTTTCCGGGGAAATACCCAAGAAAAGAATATTCAGTTACGCAGAGGGCCCAGGGAGTCTTAAGAAACATCATTATTTAAAAGTCCCATACAGCAAAAAGTACTCCACAAGAAACAGAAGGAACTTCCAGTGGTAGGAAGAAACAATGTGAGGAGTGGGAAGAGAGTTCCAAGTGGCAGGATGGTCAACATTTTCATTTTCCAGCAGAAGTTACATAAGAATAGGCAAGAGTCCATTGGATTTGGTAATCCTGATGTCAGAGTAAAGCTAACAGGTGGAAATTATTTCCATTAAGTTCTTTCTTGATCTTAGTATGTGGGGATGCAATTTAAAGATTCTGCATTCAAAGTTCAGATGAGTAGAGTATGTGGAAGGAACTTGGTATGGAGCCAACTTGCAAATGTTCTCTCTTCCATTAGATGGCAAATTCTTTGAAGCATAAGGAAGGCACATGATGATGAATAAGACCCAGTCCTAACCCTTAGCGTTTATAACAAATAAGAAAAAGACAACTGTAGTACAAGATGGGGCATTACAATTTATAACATTATTATGGGGATTCAAAAGAGGAATACACCATATGCAGACAATCAAAAAAGACTACCTCTCAGCTGTTAACAGAGACTTGAACATACTAAATATTGAAACTATATTAATTGCTTTCTCTCTTAACAAATCTGGTGAATTAGTAATAAAGACAAAGTCCCATTTATTCCAAAATCCAAGCAAACTTCAAACTCATTTATGAGATATTTATTAAAATAACACATTTAGGGAAAAAAATCAATACAATGTATACATCATTACTGAAAACTGTATACCATCATACAAAAAAGGATTTTATTTTGGGAAATTGATTTCTAATTTATGGCAAGTTTTACTTTCAGAAATAAAACCACAGAACAACACAATCTAATTCAATCTTAAAGGCTGGCATGCTGAGCAAGGAATGTTCTTATTCTTTGTAGGAGCTCCTTCTTTACACTGTCAGGTACCAGGGCTGAAATACAAAAATAAAAAATAAGAGTAAGAAGATTCCAATTAATATATGTCAACTTTGACATGTTGTTCAGGAATACCAATATAAGAATTTCATAAATAAACATTATGATTCAATAAAAAAGTATAGATATCTGAAAAAAGTATATATTTGCAATTCATTATCCAATACCTAAATACATTGCATATTAAAGAGATGAAAACATGAGAAAATTCTTTAAACTAGGAGTGGAAAAGGCCATTTTTAAACACAGAGGCTATCACAGACTGATACATTTGATTTAAACACAACAACTTATTGCTTTATCAAAACCACTATAAGCAAAGCCAAAAGACAAACTGGGGAAATGCTCTTACATAAAGGGGCTGACCTCTTTACTTTACACTTACATCAGATTGATAAGGAAAGGACTAATGGACTAATAGAAAAATAAGCAAAGGAGATGAAGAAAAGGAGAAACATATAGTTCTTAAACATGAAAAGGGCTCAATCTCAGAAGAGAAATGCAAATTAAATAATGAGACAGAATGTTTTATCAGTCAGGATAAAACCCAAAGTCAGTAATATACTATGTTCTGGCAAGAATGAAGAAAAACAAGCACTTTCATATTGGCTGGGAGTATAAAATGGTATGTTTTGAAAGGTATTATGGCAATATTTAATTGTAATAACGAATGCACATACTCACTGACCTAGCAAAAATGCAGAAAACTGCAATAGTAGTTATATTCATTATATTTGTGCTTTTGACCCATGTGATTATTATCAATTCAGAATATTAAACCACAAATGGAAAAAAAGGGGGGGGGAATTAACTAAAAATTCTAATGTATTTGCTGTGTCCAGGGGAAACGGAAAACTTTAGGTATAGTTCAATATTTCCATAAAAAATTAAACAAATAGGTTTAATAAAGAGGATACTCCACTTTATAAATTGTTTAGTTTAAGCCTACTGTAAGATACATAACTAATTCAAGTTTACTGAAAAATGTAATCAATAGTTATACTAAAAGTAATTTTAATCAAAATTATGGTGATTGAGAACAGATCAGTTGACCCGAGATGTGACTATAAAGGTATAGCCTCAAGGAGATTTTTTTGGGGTGAAGGAACTGTTTATTCTATATCTTGACTATAGCGGTGGTTGTATGTATCTATAGATGTATATAAAGTTCATAGAACTGCACACTAAAAAAAGGTCAATTTTACCGTGTTATTAAAAAATATCTTAACATTAGTAAAAGGAAGAAGATACAAAAGATTTATTTTTACTTCTTTTTTCTTTATTTGATCATCCACTAGCAAGGGAGCTACAAGAGAGTGAAATATCAAAGGTACAAGTGTTGAAGGAGAAGCAAAGGACAGTTTCTAAACTGTATAACTGGTTTCTAAACAATGTTAACAAATTAAAGATAAATCACAGAAAAAGAAATTAGTGAAAATTATTTTAAAATAATTAATGGTTTTTTCCTTTCCCCTGAGACATACTCTTAAAAAAATTATGATTTCCAGCTGTAACTAGGCCTAAAGAGATAGTTGAAAAGGACCACGGGATTCCACCACTTCTTCCCAGCAGGTAGCAGTTCAGAAAATTAGTGTTCTATTGTAATAATTTTCAAACATATTTACTTTTAACACTTCAATTTTTTTTTACTTGGAATTATTGCACTTCAATTCTTTTTAACTATCTCCGAGTGAGAAAACAACCTACAGGCCATCTAATTTACCTTCTACTTACAACTATAAAAAGACTCCAACTTTATCAAAATAAAAGTTTGGCTACATCTGAGATAAAAATGATGTAGTTCCTGACTTAATACTTATTACACATCATCAGTTTTGATCTAATATTTCCTATCTTTCCTTTGCCTTCTGTAAACAAGGCACTAAAGGGAGAAATTAAGAAGAGGTATTAGCATTGTGAGTCTTAAATATGGATTACCCTGAACATGAAGTTATGGAGCTACCAAATTCTTAAGTAGACATTCAAGAAGACAGAGCTTCATTTATTTTTAATAAGGAAAGAGATAGCTCAGCAATGACTCAAGGGTTGGAATAAACTTTGAATTATTAAATATTTAAATGGAGCCAGGCCATATCTGACAAAGTTTATAAATCCTAGCTTAAGGTAATATTTGTCTCTTTAAAATCCCATATTTTAAAAATTATCTGCCTGAACAACCATATCAACTTATGTTGGTATACTGTTTTAGAGTGTAAAAACATTAACACCTATTATTTGTTACTTAAGACTGTGCTAGAGAGGCAGATAGGCAATTATAACTTTTCCCACATAAGGGAACACAAGTACCTAAGTGACTTTGGAAAGGGTGCTTTTCTTTATAAAAAGAAGGAAAATCTGAATCAGCAAAAGAGAATAAAAATCTTGTCTGCAGCAGATGTTTCCTTTGACACAATCTGTATTCCTTACCTCTGCCTTTTGGAGTGATTTCAGCCACCAAGTCATCAACAGTAACGTGTTCTAGTCCTTTTTCTTTAATTACCTCTTATGCAAAAGCAAAAAACAAATCATATCATTTAAAATCATTATCTGTAAGAAAGATTTTCATAGAGGAAGGATTAAGATCATGTTTTTAGAGTGTAGACTGGTCTTAAAAAAAAAAAAGAGGACACTTTGAAAATTCAGTTCAACCGTAGAAACATATTAACTATTCTCTAGATCAAAAAAATAAAAGTCTATTCATTAAAGTCTCAGCTAAATAACCTGTAACTTAATAAATAATTGTAACAATGAACTTGAGTTACAATGTTCAAGTCAAACTAACATTTGTAAAAGGGTGGAAACTTATAAATGTTACAATTAACATTTACTGGATCTCTATTAGGTGCTTTACACCATATAATATTCACAATAATCTAATGTGCTAGGCATTTTTCCCATTTCACAGGTGAAGCAACTGAGGCTTAACGATTAAATAATTCATTCAAACATGAGTTGAAATCCAGCTCTAGTCTTTAACCAGAGAAAGTATGTATGACCTTAAAGAGTATGCTTTCACTAATTTGCCACATTGCCTTCTTACAGTTAATATATAAATAGTCTCTATTATTTTTATTTGTAGAAACCATTAAAATACAATGGGGATTCATTAAAAATACCCAGAATTCCATTATACAAAAAGCTGAGTAAGAAAGGAGGGTCATCTTAGTGACATGTGTAATCTATCAAGTAGTATCATCATCATACCCAGCAATTTAACAAACTTCCCTTTTTACATTTAAGCAAGAATAATTCTCTAAGAGCTTTTATAGATGAATTTTTCAAAATAACACTGTTATAGACAGGAGAGAGATGATTTCTATAAATCTGGCAACCCTCAAGTGCTCAATTTGTTATTAAATTAAAACATTATTAATGTTGCTGAAAAACATGGGATTCCATATTTTGATGCAAGGGAAAATCTTGAGGGCTCATGCTTCTCTTGTTTTAAGAGAAACTTGAAGAAAATTCCTAAAAATCTAGGAATTAAGTCTACATATATCACTGAGAGGAGGAAACTATTACATCAAGATTAAATTTCCTACTTGTTTAAAATTATGCTTGAGTATTCAATGTACCTTAAAATACTGATTATATGTTTTTTTAGCAATCCCCAAATCAACTCAATTCAGAGCAATGGGATTAGCTTATCTTCTAAATGAAACTGATTACCTTTACAGTGTGCCTTCAATTGATCTTTCCAGCCACATTCAATTAATTTAGCTCTCAGCAACTCTTTGAGGCTGTTGAAAAATAAATGTTTTCAAATTAAACAATGTACAACATCTTAGGAATGTTTGAAGCAAAAGTTGAACTGTGCAACTAAAATACCTCGTCTTTCAGTACAAAAAACTTTAATTGTGCCCTAATCTTGGTTCTATTACTATATAGTTCTTTGATCTTATCCAAGTCATTTCAATTCTGGGCCTTTCATTTCATCTCGGCCTCATTTAATGAGTAAAAGAAACTCTACTCTCTAGCCTTCTTACACATTTTTTACCTCCCTCCACCAACAGGAATATCATGGTTGTTGCACAACTTTTAGAGTATTAATTGAGCTTGGAGCACCTGCAACACTGAAATCTTCGAATTCCAAAATTTATTCTTGGATCACAGCTTCTTATCCTTTAATTCTCTTACTTTCCCCATTATCCCACTCTCCAACCTCACAGACTACCCCCTTCTTTTATCCCATCCTATCAGGCTCTTCTAAATTACACACTGACTATGGTATTTCATTCATTCTAAGACTGGTTTCCTCCATATTTTAATGATTCAGTAATTGGCATAGCTATATGATCGGCAACATTTTCTTTTTTAATAACAGTAAAAAAGTAATGGTGTGTATTGTAATTAATGGCATCACAGATGTAATAATTTTCTTACCCTTTGTCATACCCACCTTTACAAATCTTCAATTCTTAACCTAAATCATTTAACTTCTCAGCTTTAACATGTCACATCCCAAACCAAAGGGATTCTTTCTCTGTAAACCACTTCTATTTTTATAGTCCTAGTCATCCACGTGACATTTCTATCTTGATATTTAATTAGGTCTTTCAATCTTAACAGGGCCAAAACCCAACTTGTGATCTCTACCACTTCATCCTCCTCAGAATGACAACTCCATTCTTCTGGTTCCTTAGGCGAGGAATCTTGGCAATATCCTTCAGCTCCCTTGTTAACACTACACATCCAATCCTATTGGTTTCAGTTTTAAAATATATAACTGGAATTCAAATGTTTCTCACCATTTCTGTCATTACTACCCTTGTTGAAGCCACCATCTCCTCTTCTCTGGACTGTTACCAAAGCCTCCTAGCTTGTCTTCCTATTTCTTCCCTTCTACACTTCATTCTCCTCCCACTGCTCAAAACCCTACAGCGTGCCTTCTTAATTTACTCAGAATAAAATTCCAAGACTTTACTAGAGCCGAAATGATCCTCAGTGATCTTTTTCCCCAGCTATGCTTCTGACTTTACCTCCTCTCCTTCACCCAATTAATTTAGTCTCCTTAGCTTCCATGTGTTCCTCAAAAATGCCAGGCAATCACCTGTCTCAGGATCTTTGAGTCCTCCCACTCCCTCACATCCTTCTGATCTCTTGTCAGTGCAGCCTTTGTTTTTTCTACCCAAATATCACACGCCATTAGTCTCTGCTTTATTGTTCCTCTTATCACCATTTAACACACTACACATTCATTGTTTGTGTTCTCCCACTGTAATGTAGGCTCCATGAGAGCACAAACTTCATTTTTATCTATAACTGTATCTCTAGCACCTTAACAGAGCATAGCATATGATAGAAACTCATTAATTTTAAGCTACATAAATGAAAAAACAATTAAATACATAATCGCCTATATTCATTACTGGTAGTTCTATCCTCTGAAGTTACCCAAAGCACTGTTCTAGATGCTTCCTTCCTCATATTGAGGGCTGCTGTTCCTACTTTTTAGAAAAGCAGGAACTTCTTAGCTCTCCTTTCCATTTTTAACCATATGTAATCTTCTATCTTATTTTTCTGCCATCTATCTTGACACCTTTACATCTATCCTCCACACTGACAGAATAAGATTCCTAAAGTGTAAATGTGATCTAGTCCTTCCCTTTCTTAAAATCTTTTAATGACTCCCAGCAGCTAAAATAAAATCAGTAACATCTTTTTGCAAACTCTACCACCCATTTTCCTGCCCTTTCTGTGACAGAAAAAACTGGCCACTCTTAGTGTATGGGTAGGGTTCTATAAATAGAAACATGTCCTAGGCAAGGCTGATCATCACCTCGTCTACCTGTAGGTAGAGCCTGCTTGAGAATAAAAGGCAACACAGAGGAAAGCAGAGTTGACAGAAGATAAAGAAATATTCCTGACAACAAATTTTTAAGTGCCTGGCCTCAGTGGTATCTGAAGAAATTTCAAGCCCTACACTTTTTAGTGAGATGAGCTTATACATTTTCATTGGTTAAGTCAGTTTCTTAGATCAGTTGTTATCATTTTCAATCAAAAGAATTCTGACTCATACAAAATTCACGCTCCTCCTGTGCACTCTTCCAGCTAAATGGCTTTTACATTTTATCCTCTAGGTTTATCCTATTATTTTGCAATTCCCAGAACATAATTATGTTGTACTAAAGCTTGGTGACTTTGCATATTCTGTTCTATCTCCCTAGAATGTCCCTTCCTTTATTGGCTTAGAGAACTACTATCCTTTTGCCCCAGCTGAAGTACCTCTTTTATTATTCTGTGAGATCTTAACTGATGACCTTCACCCCAGGCAGAGTTGAAAGATTCTCCCTGTTCCTTATATAGACATTTCTCTTATACACTTTATTATCCTGTTTGTGGGAGCCTTTCTTAATCCCCCTCTGTACTTCTAAACCTGTTCATTCTTCAAATATTTACTGGGCCAATTATGTGCTGGGCATAGCATCGGATGCTGGGCATACAATGGTGTTTTTCCTGTCAAGGAACTTAGATCATACTAGAGAATACAAACTAGTAATATAGACAGTTAGAATACAATGTAATTAAATGCCATAATGAAACAAGGTATTTGGACTTAAAAACATTCCTTGAAGAGGCAGTATGTAAATTAAGACATGATAGATGAGCTAAAATTAGCTAAAAATCAGAGGAAGGAAGAAAGGTATTTCAGAGAGTAAGCACATGCTGCTCAAGGTTAAGAGAGCTTGGTAACTAAAAGTGGTTCTATCAGGTGTATCCCTGTTAAGATCTGGGTAACATTATGTCTTCAATTCTAATTATCTGGGTATGTATTTTTTCTTCTCCCAATTACATTATACATTCAAGAGAGGGTCATCTCCTGCTCATCTTTCTACATTACCAACTCCTTCCAAGTCCTGCAATATTGAACAGACCTAAATTATTTTTTATAGATATTAGGAACAGATGTGATGTATCTATTAAATATGGTGAAATGGAATTTATTAGTGCAATCTAGTACTTACCGTTCTCTTTCTCCAGTTTCTATCAACTTTTGGTTAATCGCTGCTCTCATCTGCGCATCTTTGTTCATCTTGCTAACCTGGACATTGACATGTATTTTCAGATATGGAACATTTACAAAGCATTTTCTTCTTAATCCTCTCTAGGCAAGCAAACTAAAACATTTATCATTCTATCAAGTGAAGGAATGACAAATTGCAAGTGTGTTAACAATATCATTACTCTTTTAAACATATATGCCTGTTTGTGGGCTAGCGTTTGTGGGTTTTTAAAAATCACATTTAATTCCCAGAACTTATTCCATTACATATTATTAACGTTTGTATTTTACTGATGAGGAAACTGAGGCACAGAAATGGAAAGTGGTGAAAGCAGAATCTGAACTCAGGTACTTTGATCCCAGAAACTCCAAACACTTTATCTAACTGCACATAAGTGACTGATCACTTCCGCACATGAACTACATCCAAAAATTTCGAGAAGTCATATAAGCTAAATATCAAAAAAAGATTAAACACTATCATTAAAACATGAAATTATCAGATAAGGCTTTAAGTACTTTAACTTCACTCTTCACTAGTATGCATTCGGAATTACAATGCTAAACTAGATGTAAGTGTGTGTACTACTAAACACACACACACACACACACTGCTAGTGGGTTAAGGGGAAAACAAATCTCAAACTAATATCTAACTTAGAAATTTTTCAATTTTCAGTAAAAACAGACAACTAAAACCAAAATAGTGCTTAAAGTAAAGTTAGATTTTGAAGGCATTCAGACCATTTGAAAGTTTAAAAAAAATAAAACTTAGAGTAAACTAACGTTTCCCCACCTGACACTAACTTGAGACTACTTTTGTCGTCTCCTATCTCGTCCATATGAAAATACAGACTGGTAGTAAGTTTTCAGAGTTAATTTTATTTTATTTTATTGGAGAAGAACAGGGAAAAGGAGGAGTTGAGAAAAAAACTAGGAAATGTTTGCTTTTGTAGTTGCGGGTTACCATTTTCAAAATACCTAGTAGCATTCCCGGAAAATTGAACTTGACCTCGCCTTGGCCCCTAAAATACGGATAGTGACCTTGGACAAGTCACTTAATTCTCAAAGGCCTCAGTTTTCTCACTGGTAAAACAAGGGCACTAGGGGTTCCCTCCCAGTTCAGACATTCTTTGGGAAAATAGAACAGGGCGGAGACAGAGAGAGGCGGGAGGGGAGGAGCCAGAAAACAAAGCGAGGACTGGCTTCAGGCCAACTCCGGTAGCACGCCCTGTCGGAGAGCCCTACAGGCCCGCGAGCGCGGGTCGGGGAAGCTAACGAAAGACAGTACATCGAAAGGAGCCTGGGCTGGGCCCGAGTCCCGGCCCTGAGGACCACGGGCATAGCTCACCACCATCACCGCGGGCGAGCGCCGTCCCTTCCCAGCGACGAAATGACCCTTGCGCTGGTGACCGTTACCTACCACACTCTTCGGCTGCCCGGACTTAGACCCTCAGTAGCTCGGGCACCTAAGCACACAGAAAGCTAGAACACGCATTTCCGGGGCGGGGTCTCGCCACTCTGCCTATAATGTGAGAATTTAACCAGCGCGGGCCGCCTCCTGGTTGCTCAGCCCTCTGGGTAAGAGAGTCCAGAGCCTGCTGTCGCGCGGGCGTTAAGTTCCCGGGAAACTACACAGCCCAGCATGCAACAGGGTCCACTTTATCACGGACACTACATTTCCCAGAAGGCAGTCTGCGCCGCAGTGTTTCCTGGGATGGGAACCACGCCGCTACCCAGCGACAGTGCTGGGAGCGAAGCGCGGACCTTTCAACAAGAGCTTTATTAATTCTCACGCTAGGTCCCTGGAAGGCGATGGAAATGGCAGCTAATTGCTCCCTACGGGTGAAGAGACCTCTGTTGGACCCCCGCTTCGAAGGTTACAAGCTCTCTCTCGAGCCGCTGCCTTGTTACCAGCTGGAGCTTGACGCAGGTGGGAAGCGGCGGCGCCCCTACGCACTCCATTCCTTTCCCGTTTCGGCTGCCATCCGCCCGAACCTTCCCGCATTTTCTTTTTCTGACTTTGGCAAGCAAGGCGACCGTGGCCTTCCTCATTGCCCGTCCTGCTGGGGGCACCCAGGGTGGCCGCTTCCGGACAGTGATGCCCATCCCAGAACCCTGTGGGAGCCGCCTGCGCGGGGCTCTTTAGTAGCGGGACCCTGGGCCCGCCCTCGAGCAGCCCACGCCTTGAGATCTGGCACGCGGGTGCTTCTTGGGCTACAGCCACCTGTTTGTCCCCGGGCTGGCCTCTGTTGTGGGAAAAGCACAGGACATTCTTTCCTCCTGGAGCATCATCTGTAAACGTGTGCGTTGAGAAACCACACCTCTTTGGAGGACTCCTTGCTCTTGCTTCCTCGGACGGAGAGCCTTTTCTTAGAAGAGAAACTATTAATACATTCCAGGCAGAGTATTGTCATTTACTCAGGTCCTTGCACACTAAGACCTCTGTCGTAGAGAACATTTCTAGAAATCTTTGAGGAAAAGTTGATTTAGTACCCACACTGCTGCTACTTGTTTTGTTTATCTGTAGCTGGCCAGAATATTCTCATCCTTGTTTTAGTAACGTAAAGGACAGAGTTTTTGTTAGAGTCTAGAGATCTGCATTTTTTTAATGCGCACTCCTGCTGATTCTGATACATGTTGTCAGTAATCACACTTTGAGAAATACTGGAATACAGTTAATTAATAGAGCATCAAATAAGTATTCATTTATTAAATTCAGAAACATCTATCGAGTGCCTGTTTTGTGTTATGTGCTGATGATATCAAGAAGAAGAAGACACACAGTCCATAACAGAAAAGGGATATTGTCTAGTTAGGAAGAAAAATGTAAACAGATAATTATAAAACCATGTGGGAAGGCAATGATAGGGATATGTACAAAATACAATGATATATCTATCCTAAACCAGCCTGGGGGATCTGGGAAAGCTTCCTGGAGGAGTTGATGTCTAAGTTGAGTTTTGAAGAATAGGTAGGAGTTGACTAGGGTAAAAGAAGATGAGCTTGGTTTTTGTTTTCATTTGCTTCCTTTTCATCTTTCTCACCATGTTTTTTCCAGTCTCCCTCTGTCGGTAGGTGGTGCTGCTATGTTTCGTTAGCTAATGCAGTTCAAAATAATAACTAGTGGCTCAAAGCACAAAGCAGTTATTTTTGCTTACAAGTCTGTAGGTCAGTCAGCTAAGTGGTTCTTTTACTCCTGGCTGGGCTCATTGGTGCATGTTTGTTCAGTTATGGGCCTGCTAGGCAGCTCTGCCTATCTTATCTGGACTTCCTCATGTGTTCGGGGGTTCTCAGGCTATAGGCTGGTTTAAGATTATTTTCGATGGTCTCCCCTTGATTTTCCTTCATGAGATCTCTTATCCTTCAGCAGAGTAGTCCAGATTGTTTCCAAGAGACAAGTAGCAATGGGTAAGTGTTTTTTCAGGTTGCTACTTGCAACAAGTTTGCTAATGCCTTATTGGCCAAAGCAAGTCAAATAGTCAAGCCTTGAGTCAGTGTGCAAGGTTATACCAAAGAGCATAGATCCAGGGAGACATAAAAAATTGGGACTATTAGTGCAAGTCTATTAGTTGTTCATGCTGGAGTTATCTTTGGTGTATTTCTTCTCTTTTAGTCCCTGTGCAATATAGCAGAAAGTTGACTCATCTCCAGATTTTGATGTCTCCATGCCTCCACCCTAGTCTAAATCACATTTGTCTCTTACCTGAACTATAGTAGCCTACTGATATGCCTTCCTTGCATTCACTTTTGTGCTGTTCCATTGCATCCTCTATACGACAGTACTTATCATCCTTTTAAATTCTGTATTGATGTCTCATTTCCTCCTCTAGAGTGTGAACTCCACGAAAACAGTGATGTTTCTCTTTTGCTCACTACTCTATCCCTAGAACTTAGCACATGGTGAATGCTCAATAAAGTGAATGAAGAAGAGGAGTTGTTGAAGTTACTGCATTCATGGGAAAGTGTGAGCAAAGGGAAAGGGAAAAAATTAATAGGTTGTATGCTGTAGAATATTGCAGTCTTAGATTGCTGAAGCAAAAAATCTCCTGGGAAAGTAAGAGGAGATAGATCAGAGAGCACCTTGTTTGCTTTTTGGACTTTATCTTATCAATCAGTGTTTTGAGTTTTTTGTATTGGGCCATTACAATAAAGAATAAAACTCAGCTATCATAGTTTTGCCAACTTTTTAATTTGCTAAGTGGAAATGTTTCTTAAAAACTATCATATACTCACCCATCTTTTCATAAACAAAAGCATGTTTAACACCAAAAAAATTAGGAAGCAAAATCTCACAATAAGTAGTCTTCCAAAGTGGATACATTTTTATAAAAAGTCACAAAGTTGTCGTTTTTACCCACTCATTTCACCAGAGTTGATCTTGGATTGTTTGGGATGCACAACTGGAGGATATGAGGTGCCATTTGAAGATTGTTAAGTATAGAGAGGAAATGAACAGATTTGGGTGTTGGATGGAACAATTTATTCTCAGACTCTGTGGAGGTTGACTTTAGAAAAGAGGAGGAATGGAGACAAAACAATTTGGAGGCTTTAGCAGTAGTTCACGTGACGGACTTTCTTTAAGAATTATTGAGGATAGTGAAGAAGAGATTATTTCTTTTAAAAATCATTATTTCTAGAGGAATGAGGTACAACTGAGGAGCTTCTGACAATTTGATTTCTTTTAACTTAACCCAAGGAGTTCACTTTAATTTAGCAAATCTTTGGTGGATACATTGGGTGTGTGAAACATTACATTTGAGATGTGAGGATGAAGATGTCTTTGCTGCCAGACCTAGCTGCACTGAGGTATATTCTTTTTTCTTAAATAAAATTATTAAATTATTCCAAAATTCCTTCTGCTACATAAATAGTACATATCACTTTCTCTTTTTCTATTCCAAACAACTAAGTAAACACCTTTTTTTAAATAAAATTGTATTTACCCTTTGATTTAGTAATTCCATTTGTGAGTATTTGTCTTATAAGTATCCATTCCCTAGAATCTTCATTCTGTACATGCCTTTTCATATGCTTTACCACTGTATTTCACCTAATTCATGCTTCATTCTTTCATCTTGGTTTACATATTACTTCCTCAAAGAATCCTTTCTTGACTACCTAGTTATGATCGATGCTGTAGAATCTGTACAAGTTAGAATCTGTATTATCCTTTCCCATAGTACCCAGCACTTCATATACTTAATCCCACTTTGTGGCATTCAGTATCTGTTTTCTTTGCTAAGACTATTAGTTCTGTGTGGATGGGTCCCAGTCTTTTCAGTACTTTATCTCCAGGGCTGGAGCATGCCTAATAAGTAGTAGATGATTTTGTTTCACATACATATTAAACAGCTTTATTGAAATAAATGACAAAGTGTTCAAATTAACAATATATAGATTAACAACTTTTCACATATGTGTACACCCATGAAGTCATTACCACAATCAAGATATTAAACTTAGCCACAATATCATCCCCAAAGTTTCCTTGTGCCCTTGTGTCACCATCTCTTTGCTCCTCCTGCATCCCTCCATCCCCAAGCAAATACTGATCCACTTTCAGTAGATTAGTGTGCATTTTCTACAGTTTTATATACATGGAATCAAACACTATATGCTTTTTTTGGTCTGGCTTCTTTTTTTCAGCATAATTAATTTGAGATCATTCTTGTTGCATGGGGGGGGTTGAAATCTCTGATTATAGTTGTTGATTTTTGTATTTCTCCTTGTGATTTTATCAGTTTTTGCTTTATGTATTTTGAAGTTCTGTTGCTAGCTGCATATACTTATTGGTTATTATGTCTTCTTGATAAATTGACCCCTTTATCATTATGAAATAACATTTTTTATCCATGGTGATATTCTGTGCTCTGAAATCTGTCTGATATTAAAATAGTCGCTCCAGCTTTTTTAAAATTAATGTTACCATAGTATATCTTTTTTCCCCATCTTTTTACTTTTAACTTGTGTCTTTGTATTTAACAAGCATTTGTTATCAGCAGAAATACTAAGTTTTTGGTTTTTTATTCAATCTGACAATCTCTATTATTAGACTATTTACATTTAATGCGATTTTTGATTGGGTTAGGTTTGGGTCTTTCATATTGCTGTTGGTATTTTGTTTGTAGTCTTTGGAGAATGGAATTTTCCCACTTTTCTGCCTTCTTCTGAATTTTTTTAATTAATCCATTTTTATTTCTTTTGTTGACTTATTAGCTATGTTTCTTTATTATTTTAGTGGCCTTTTTAGGGTTTATGGTATATACCTTTAGCTTACTACATTATAAGATACATTCAAATGTTATTAGGTCATTAACTATGAAATGTCTGATTTTGAATCAGAAGTTTAGTTTATTATATCTCAAACAAGAAGCATTACAATTAATTAAAATATTAACCTCAACTATTGACACAGTTTTGCCATCTTAATGGTAGCTTGTTTATGCCAGCAGCTGAGATGCCTGGAGAGTGAGTGGCGATGAAATCGCAAAAGGCGTTTTCCACA